AGAGGTAGTGGATAAAACATTAGGCATCATTAACTCCCACATGCCCAATTATAGGTACTGGACCACAAATGCAAGAATAGCAGAGAAATTGTGATTAGAAGCACTTAATCTTATGCATACCCAAGGGTGTAACAGAAAGCAAAAGGAGGCAGGGCACAGGGTTTCTTTGGAAAATGTGCTGATGCCCTGTGATTGTGACTTCGCTCTGCCCCTCAGGGTGAGAAAACCACTGGTTTTACACCAATCCTATGAGATGGGCTTCAAGGAGGTACTTGGGGAACTTGATGCCCTGGTGTTCACGCCTGACTCACACCTGAAAGTATATGCAGGCAAGGAGGTCTGGCTGCGGGTGGCAGGACAAGAAAAAAAATTCAACAACAGAATATATCAGGCAGGGCAAGGTGTGATTCCCATGGACCAAGTGAATGCTATTCAAGGTCACTGGGCTGAAACCATCCTAAACGGACAACCCCCAGGAATGTGACTCATTAAGCAAAGGAACCCAGCAGTAAGGGATTTTAGGATGTAGCCCTGGGAGAGAGGAGTGGAAGGAGCTTCATAAGAGATCAACCAGAAAGAATAGTCATTCTTCAGGAAGCTGAGCCATGTCATGGGTCATACAGGATCCTTGAAAGAACACACATGTGCTTCCCCAGCCAAATACTGCTTTTCTTTCTCTCAGTGACAACAGAGCACCACCCAGTTAGCAAAGTAGAGCAGCACCTGCATCTCACACTCTGGGTGTCGGAGGTCTGGGCCTGTGCGGCTCAGGGTCTCAAGACTGAAATCGCAGTGTTTGCTGGGACGTTGATGTCGTCGGAGGCAAGAGCCCTTTTCCAAGGCCCTGTGGCCGCTGGGAGGTTCAGTCGCGTGCAGGTGACTGCTCCTTGCCGCCTGCCAGCAGCCGCCACCACTGAGAGCAGAATGCCAGGCCCTGGGGCTTGCTCCATGAAGTGGCAGCTTTTCTCCTTCGAGGCCAAGGCAAGGGCATCACTCTCAGACTTCAAAACTATTTGACTTTTTTTTAACAGCACAAATGAGGGTCGGGGGGAGACAAAGTTGGCCTGAGGACTGAATGGTCCCAGGTTTGAGGGTTCGATTCCAGTCAAGGGCACATACTTCCATTGCAGGCTCAATTCCCGGGTTGGGGTGTGTGTGGGAGGCAACCAATTGATGTGTCTCTCTCACATCGATTTTTCTCTCTCTGTCTCTCCCCCTCCCTACAATTCTGTTTAAAAAAATCAATAGAAAAAATATCCTTGGGTGAGGATTAAAAAAAAAAATAACAAAGGAATTAAATGGTAAACCAGACAGCATCTATTAAACACAAAAGAAGGCAATAATGGAGTAACAGAAGAACAAAAAAGATATGATATTTAGAAAACAAAGAGCAAAGCAGATTTAAACCCCACCTTATCAATTATGACATTAAATGCAAAATTAATTAAACACTCCAATTAGCAATTGTCAGAAAAAAATCTTTAAAATTATCCAACTATATGCTGTGCACAAGAGGCACACTTCTGATTTGGTGGCTATACTAATAACAAACAAAATATACTCTAAGAGAAAATCATTACCAGAGACAAGAGGAACTTTTTATAATAATGAGTAAATCCATCAAGGAAACAATAATTATAAAGATACTAGAGGCCTGGTGCACGAATTCGTGCATGAGTGTGGTCCCTCGGGGTGGCCTGCGGGGATTGGGCTGAAACCAGCAGTCCAACACCGTCTGTTGCTCCTGCCTGCTGCCCTGCTCATCCTGGCCCCGCTGCACCTGCCACGGGCTGGTGCCCAGTCAGTCCCGATCGGGAGAGGATCGCAGCAGCCCTCACCAGCCCTGAGCCCTGTGTCTGGTGCCCAACCAGGGGGGGGGGGGTCA